GGTTCGGCGTGGGCGTGCGTTCTGGCGCAGCTGGATGCCAAAGAAACGAATCCGAAGCCTTAAAGACTGCCTTGTGGCTTGGGGGATCTTGGGGGCTGGTGCAGTTTAGCCTGAAGCCCCGGCACTCTTCAACTGTTCGGGATTTTCGACTTTGCGTGTTTTTTGTTACTTTTCGACTTTTCGGTGTGTTTGTGACTTTTCGGTTGTTTTGACTTTTCGGAAATTTTCGGATTTTTTTCGACTTTTCTGTTGTTTCGTTACGTCTCGAGTTTTCGTGTTTTTGCGCACTTTTTTCGGTTTTTTGGCACTTTTCGGAACTCTTCGGGTTTTTTTGAGTTTTCGACTTTTCGGTTTGTTTGTTACTTTTTCGGTTTTTTGGACTTTTCGGAACTTTTCGGAATTTTTCCACTTTTCGTGTTTTTCGTTGCTTTTTGAGTTTTCAGAACTTTTTGGAATATTCATTTACGACTATTTGTGTTTTTCCTTCCTTTTCGACTTTTCGTGGTTTTTGCCTATACTTTTCGCAACTTTTCTGAGTTTTCGGCTTTTCTACTTTCGTGCTAAATGGCCTAATTCGACTTTTCGGCTTTCGTCTTCTCGTGCAATTTTCGCATTTCTACGCTTAAATCTGTCCACAGCCCTTCGCAACCACAGTCCCCATGACCACACGCCTTACACCATAACTCCCTGCAGCACCCTGTTCTGCACCCCCCTACCCTACCCCCTTCGCTTCCCAACCTATCCTGCGGTGGATGGGGGAAATCTTGCACCACCTCCATGCTGAAACATAATACCATGAACCCCCCACACCCCGCACCCTCTGTTTAACACTGGGGCTCAGCAAATTGAGGTGGTGCAAGATTTTGGTCATTTGTCCCAGTGGGAAGCTCGCACTGTCACTGCCAATGTTTAAAATCGGGTGCGGGGCATTGAGTTTTAGCGGAGCATTCAAGTGGTGCAGGATTTCCTCAGTCAACAGTATCCTCCACCACACCTTGTGATGGCATCTCCCCTAGGGTTTAGAGAAGGGTAGAGTGCGGCAGCCCGGGGCAGCAGGTTGGGTAGGGAGGGTAGGATATGGTAGGATAAGGCAAAGATAGGCTGTGCCTTCCTTGTTTCCAACACGCGTCCGTAGTCCCGTTGAACATGCGGTTTGTCCCTCAACCAACGTCAGCGTCAGCGCTATCGTCTTCACCGCAAGCAATGAGTGGATGCAGGGCCAAAACAACAAGTGTAATCCAGTGCCCCGCTTTTGGTCCGAGATGGCCACCATTAGCTTAGGAGAGACACGGGTTGCACAGCCTTCTCCTACGAGGCAGCTTGGCTTAAACTTGCTTGGGCAAGGTAGGAAGGTCACCAGATGACCTGGCATTGAACTCCCAGCATCAATAGTCAGGCTCCTTTTTGCCAGGACTGACCAGACATCAGATTGTCCCTGTACGAGTACACATTCATTTCGACATGGCAAATGGTTTAGCGAACAAACACAAGAGAAATTGAGCCTGCCTTGTGACTGTGCATGACTGTGCGTTTTGTCTAGACACTGTTGTTTGCAAGACAAGGGCTTCAATACCACGCCGTACATAAGCGTGAAGGGTGGGCATATCCTAGCCATAATCATGAAGCATGAAGAGAACAGTCATTCGGAGATTCTTTTTCTGCCAGACCGCCCTAGCCTCACCAGAGCGTGTGGAGAAGGTTCCGACGCAGACTTCCAAGACTTGTTCTATGCAGACTTTAACAGGGCAGTCTTTGGTAGAGCCCCACACAATATCATACAATCTGTCAAGATCTACCGTCCGAAAGAGTGAGCAACTATGCCAAATCAGCATCCAGGCAACCTTGGCAGCTGCAGTGGGGGTTGCGGTTTGGTCCACGGCATCCTGTCTCGTTATGGAGGCTGGCCTAGGCCTCAAAAGCCATGAACGCCGCACCTACATCAGCATGCCGGGCATCGTTAAGAGAAGCATTGAGGTAGAAAACGCATTCACATGTGTTGCTGACATAGACTTCAGCCCTGTCATGCGGTTGATGGAACAAATCCTGCACCACCTTAAGTACCCCAACTCCAGGGACCGCAACAGTCTGGGCCCTGGTGGTGCAAGAATTCCTCCATCGGAAATTGTCCCCAAGAGAGACATGTATTAACATCCCCTAGCGGCCCTAGCGACCCTTGCATGAGAACAAGTACCACTATGACTGCTCGGCTAGGTGGCTGAGCTTGTCAGTTCTGAGATCAGCACAGACCTTCAGCGCACAATGCGCTGATAGCTGTTCTAGGATTCTAGGAGTGCATGGATGTCTCACAAGTGGTTGGAGATACGCTGGCAAATTTATGGGTCAAGGACCGTTCATGCGTCGCGCAATCAGACTTATGTCTGGCTGACTGCTGCCTAGCATTCAGAGTGGCTTTTCCGTTATTGGCTTAGAGAGTTCTGGTCGGGGCGGAAGACAGTATAGCAGTGCCCAACTTCCCACTACGCGCACCTGATGCCCTGCCTGATGATTGGCAGGTCACAGTTCACTACACTGGGCGTTTGCAGGCACTCTGGTCTGGGAAATGAGATTATTCTTCTCGGCCTAGGTTCGGCAGGTTGTGGCTTTCATGTAGACAAGTCAACAGGGCGGACTGACATTGAAGTTTCACTCTCAGCAATAATGCGCAGAGGCCACGGGTGAAGAGTTCGACTCCTCAAAGGACAAGGCTAGGGCGGGCTCGCAGGGAAGCAGCATTGCCTTGCGAGCAGCAATCTGAAGCCGTGGACAGGAGCCAGCCGTTTTTGACCTCGGTAAAGGTGAGGTCATCAAAGGCCGCGACTCTGAGTGGTCAGGTGCAAAATTAGACGATGATCTTTGCTTTGCCATTCTGGGAGCAGCTACGCATAGAACAGGGACAAGCTGCCGGAAGCAACAGCTTTTTTCCAGCAGCTTTACCGCTCTGGAGTTTGCATGTTTGCCATGCTTCTTGCCATCCCCACAGCCAGAATCAGTTTGAAGTTGTCCCTCGTGGTTTCAAAGGCATATCTTGCATGCAGAATGCGCTTTAATTGCCCATGATCTTGGGCTTACTCGATTGAGCTAGTGGCACCTATTCGTTAAAAGCTGCAGCATTCTCAGTTGGGCGTTAAAAGCGCCTCGTGGCATGGCCAGGAAGCTTCAAGACACTCGATGGAATTATCACTCAATCACAAAGTGGCATGCCAGGCGGTGAGCATTGAGGCCCTTAGGATGTCAGAAAAAACAGCTATTTACGGCTTCCTTCTCATTTGTAGAACAGAAGAGAAACCAGCGCAAGTTGCCAAGCACGTAGCCTCGCAGTCCTGCTACCTCAGTCCGCCTCCTCTGTGAAAGGATATCAACTGCTGGGCTCTGTCAAGGAAGGAACCGCAGGCATTCTAAGGCTCCTTTAACCCCACCAGAGGACAAGATATGACAAGATCAATTCCCGCATCAGTATTAGTGGCACCGCGAGCGCTCAAGTACGCAAACCACTTTGGCTGTGAAAAGCTCCAGCACAGCAGCTACGCCGCACACCATATCAAACGATTATTGCTATTTCACCGATGTTGGTGATGTTTAGGCCTTTCAACGGCTCCTCTTCCCGGTTGATCGCCTTGCTAAAGATAAGACAGGTAGAGCACCCCTGTCGCACTTCGCAACTTGCCTCTCTCATTACGTAAATGAACGTCCAGCACCGCCTGGACTGTTGGCGCAATACCCGGTCAAGAAGACGGTCAACAAAGAAGAAGAAGAAGAAGGTAGAAGTCAAGTCCGCAAATGTCCACACATCCAAATGTTGCGCCAGGCTGGGAAGCAGGGATTCCCACCATGCGGGTTGGCGAGGTGAAAGCCTTGGTTGTGACTGTCCTTGATGAAACCTTGGTTTTCAGTGTTGCATGTACCTTAGGTGGTAATTATGTTCGCTTTGTAAGATTACATCAAGCCAAACACGGTCGACTAAAGGAGCTTCCAGGCCTTGAAGTGCATCCCCAAACTCTGAGCTCTTGTCGAAAATTGCTTTTGACAACCGTTCCGCTCCTCCGCACTGGAATCAATACTGGCTGGCACGCTCAAGTCACTCAAGCACTTTACTCAGGAAGCCAGGCTGACCATTGCTCCAGAACTAGCCTATGGCGTGGACGGCGCAGGGAGCTTTGGAAACGGCCTTGCAGACCTTGGCTTGAGCTGCACGTTCGTCCACTAAGTTGCCGCCAAAGATACCATCAAATGCGACTCTCGTCTTTGACGTAGACCTCCTTAGCTTCGATTGCAAGGCCTGGAACAGACATTTTCTAGAGCTGCAAGGAGCAGATGTCCGGGCCATCATCCTGGGTTCGAGCTGCCCCGTTTGGGCGCTGATGACTCTAACCAACCACACATATCGATGTGCTAGCGGGTGTGGTAAATTTTCGCTGCCCATGTCTACCTGGAGTCCACCAAGTCAAATTACATGCCTTGCTAACGCAGCCTGCTTGCTAGACACCATCTGCACTATCCCCCGCAAGGCCCTTGAGCGACACGGCTCTAAGTTGTTCGGTTCTTGCGGTTACACTCCATCATCCTATCCTTTGACCCCGCTGCCTCCCAGCGCTATGGAGATCAGCCTGGCGCGGGACATCATGGCTTTCTGCCTTAGCCAGACACAGGAGTGGCCAGCTTTACGGGAGGGCCCGGTACAGTTCAGTTTGCAATGCATAGAGGAGCGCGCAGCAGAGGAACTCCGAAGGCGGCGACGCGGTGAGCGCTGCTTGAACGCAAAGAGCAGTGCTCAAAAGTAACTGAATCCTCACTGGGAGAAGCAACAGCTTCCTCCGCAGCTTCAACGTGACAAAAAATCATTGCTCAGGCCGAGCATGCCTACATCACCGCTACAAATAAGTTTGACTTATGGGGCCATTTCACAAGTACCAACCTGCTAATTACGTGTCTTGCGGAGTCGCGGAAGCCTTCGAAGTCCCATTTTCCTTGGCCCTGCCAGCGGAGTCGCCTCTACGCTGCTTTATTTTATAATACTTTAAAGCTCCGGAGGAGGTCCGAAGACGCCGGTGAAATACTATTTACAGCTCTGAAAAAGGCCCGAAGACGCCAGTGTAGGGGTTCGAGTACATGTACGAGTCTTCTTGCCAGTACTTCCGAGAGTCGAATTTTTTTGTGGCGCCGCAGTATAAACTCCATGCCTTCAAGCACGAATCTTGTGCTTGCTATCGGAAATGTTGCGCAGCTACAGCATGGCCTTGTAGATCCATCCCACTACCAAAGCACGCCCAAGCACCCACACGAGGCTGTGCAGACCTGCTCGATCAGGTCCTGCGGCGTCAGCAGGCGGCCATGAGAGCTTTCAACCGGGGCCGTTCACAATTGCGTAGCTCTCATATGCTCTCGTGCTGTGATCATACTAAGCACAGCAGCAATGTTGCCATTCTTGTATCATGGCCGGGCCAGGGTAAATACTGCAGACTCAAAGTGGCTTGCAATCCTGGCCTTTACATCAGCAACAGAACATTTCCGACAATCAAAGCTGCCTTAAAGTTGGTTTGTTTTCAGACAGCGCAGGTGGCTCATGAAGTTGGGCGCTTCGCCGGTCTGGAGATGTCGAGTCGGCTTTGTGCTTTGCACCTCCGTTGGAATGACACCAGGCATGTACTCAAATACCAAGCTCTCAAGACCTGCCGAGTCGTAGTGGTGCTATTAACTTCTTTTGCTCATGGGGTGGCTTGCAGATTCCTAAATGGTTTAGGTCCTGCGCGGAACCCCGCTTCGTGCACTAAGATCTTTGTGCCTCATGGAAACTTAGTATCCGAGCAGGTAAATGGAGTAAACCTTTGACCTTTGGGGATCATTACATACAATGCTATTCTGGCTATTCTTATCAAAGGGTTGTTTTTGTTTGTCCTAGGCTACTTAGCAGGTAGGGACAAAACCCTGGATACACCCCGAAACTGTTTGCAACAGCATTGGGAAAGACGCTTCTTCAATGAGGGAGCCAAGGCAAGTAAGAGAAAGTATGTTATGACGCTTTGATTATAGTGAGCCGGTTGTGCAGCACCAAATCCGCCGCACTTTGCACAGCTTCGGTTCTTGCCACTTTGTCCCAGCTAAGATCGCGGCTCCACGGCACTAGCCTGCGAAGCTCTTTACCGCTGCTGCGCAAGGCAAAATCCTCTTGGATTTTGAAAGGTTGACGGCTTCCCAGGCATTGGTCCCCTTTATTTTCGCTGAACTTGCCACAAAAGCATGAGACTCCCATAAGTGCTGCAAACGAAATTGAAGGTGTTTCAAGCTGCCCCGGGTTGAATTTGAAGTGGCACCGAACTGGCAGCAGCCTTACTGGCTGAAGCTTTTCAATACCAAACCCAAAAGCAACAAAGCCTTGAGTGAAAAGTTCAGAGGAAGTTACCCATTGCATCTGAAGACACGCTCGGGCATGTGCAGCCTGCATGGACGTTCTTGACCAGTGCTCGCCGCTCGCATCCCTTTTTGCTCGAATATGTTTCGAACGTTTCGGCCACAGGCAGCTATCCTGATGGATCTGCTTCGGAGCTGCGCTGAGCCAGATGTTTTTTGCTGGCGCTGCAAAACCGGAGTATTTCGACTTGTGTTGTGTCCTGCGAAGGCCGGTCGTTCTTTGAGAGGCATTTGCATTTCGCATTATTAGCTTTGTTGCTACCAACATTGGAAGCGGAGCCTCGTCCGAAAGCACAGGCTCGAATGAAAAGGGTGAGTCGAGAGTGTGATCCAGGGAGACCTGAAGACGAAGGGTGGGCATGTTTTTGTTTCAAAGTTTTGCCGTCAGTTTTCGAACCGGTGGCACTTTTTGTCCAGATGGACAAGCGAGATTTGAATCCAATTCCATCATGGGATGGGGAAACTACAAGCAGGAACAATTATGTCCGGCGTGTTAGACGTGAATGGGAGAGGGTGCCAAACCATGACAAGAAGGTGTTGGGAGCAAAACCCAAGTCCAAGAACGTGGCCTCTGTGTGGATTCCGAGCCCGAAGCTAGACCAAGGCAACCAAGAGGGGCCATGCGGTTGCAGCCGAAGTCCAAACATCCGAGGGTCAAAATGCCAAGCAGGGCACTGCGCACAGCAGCACGGACGGAGTGTGGGCACAAGTTACACCATGAAGTTGAACTTTGGCAAGATGATGCTGCAGTGACTAAGACGTCTGCGCAGCGCGTTGTCCACGATCTCGATGGGATGGCTGAATTCCGAAATCATCTCCCACCTGCATTGACTTCCTGGAGGTGCGCTGTCCTTCAAAAAGTGGCCTCGCCACGGCTGTTCGATCCACAGCCTCGATTTGGGAACCACTTCCGGAATCAATGGTGCCCTGTCTCGGGCCAAAGCTCTGCTGCATCCATGGTTTATGCGGGTGTTGACGCCACGCCGACCTTTCGCCCCCGTCCAAGCCCTGTTCAACAAGAAGACCGACGATCAGAAGCGGCGAAGGAATTATCGAAAGCACAAGTGCCGAAAGGCTATCAAGGCCGTAACAAGCTTCTTTGTGAGGCTCCTCATGGCCGCTTCTCACACATTGGTATGACTGCCCTCGACAACATCAATCCCTCTCATGTATGTTTTGTTGCCTGGGGCGATGTGGCGGTCGGCAACAGGCCTAGGCCTGATTTGGGATCGACGAGCGGCTACCTGATCTGCGCCACAACTCTTCGCATGCGTCGTGGCGAGCTGGTTCCGGTTACTCCAAGAATACTCCAAGTAGCTGGAGGTCGGGACGACTGCCCAGAATGGCGCGATCTTCACTTGCAGCCTAAACTCTGGCTCCTTCTGAGGCTGAGGAGGTGCTCATAATGGTGCGCTTGCAGTGGAAAGACCTTCTTCGCTATGACATCGACATGCGTGCTCCGGAAAAGACATGGCCAGTGTTCCAGGAGCTCTGGTCATTGAGATGCCAAAAGCTTGCATGCTGTCTTGCTGAAGGATGACCGGAACTCAGCTGCAGGCGGCTTGACGGAGATGTACTCAGCTCTGGTGTCCCCTTGCGAGCGCATCCGTGAAGGACAAACGCAAGTTTGTTGGGTCAACAGCTCAGGTGACCGACTCCCCCACCAAGCCTATACAGCCTGATGCCTCGCAGCAGCTCCACCCGGTCGGAAGGTGGAGATTGGTCTATGACACACCGTTTTCAAGTTCCAAGCGTCTTAAACGGCGCTGCCTGTCCATTTTCGGCTGTGAGCTTTGGAAGTGGCAAACTAAGTTCAGAGGATTTTAACCTCTCCTTCTGAAAACATGCGCGGGCATCTGCAGCCTGCATGGGCATTCTTCGCCAGTGCTCGCGGCTGCATCCCTTTTGCCCGAATATGTTCCTGAGCATTTCTGCCAGAAGCAGCTATCCTGATGGTTCTGTTGAGCCGGCTTTTTTTGTTGGCGGTGCAAAGCCAAAGTGTTTCGACTTGTGTTGTGCGCTGCGCAGGCCAGGCATTCCTTGAGAGGCATTTGCATTTCGCATTAGTAGCTTTGTTGCTGCCAGCTTTATGTCTTGACATTTGCAGCAGGTATTATGCTCCAAATTGAACTCTCCAAGCAAATCCCCTCTCGTTTGCTCGGACCTCTGAGATGGCGCGGCGTAAAACAAATCCCCTCCCCTTGAGCCATTTTCTTGTTCCAAAAAGCAAGCCCGCCTGCTTTTGAGGACGCTCGCCCGGAGATCTATGCCTCTTGGTTTGTGTTCGTCACGTTGCGCAGTCTCAGTCAAGATATGTGACTTGATCCTTTTTCTAGCGCTTGGAAACACCACGCCGATTCTTCAAGCATCCGGGGCATTTAGGTCTTCGGTGGCCAGACGAGCCGCCAAACCTTGGCCTCGGTCGAGCGCTTCGACTGGGTCACGCGGCAGCACGCAGGCTTGTCCAGAGAACTTAGATGAGACTACGGCTGAATCTCACAAGATGTTCCCTCGTAGACTGCAATGACTCTATAGAAGGTGATGTTTGTAGGAAGCTGGGTTTATTTGATATTCGATTTACATTTGACTCGTAGTCTCGAATTTGTCTCAACAAAACAGCCAAGACAACCAAATTCTGAATATCAAGCAAAAAGGATCTGGCCAACCTGGGAACAAGTACTTTGGAGACTTGACAGTAACACAAGTCAATCTCATCCGGTCCGAAATTGAGGATTCTGAAACGTGGGAGTCCCTGCCAGCTATGCCCACGGCGAGGAGCTTCTGCTGCGCTGCAGGCATCCCCGCGCTTGCTGCAAGGTCTGTGAGGGCTCCCTGAAAAAGCCAGAGAAAGATTTTCAATTGATGGAACTTGCACCACCCAGAGACTGCACAGAAAGGCAATTCCTAGGAATTGGTGGAGCATTTCTTCCATCGACAGTTGTGTTGTGCGCATCCTGGTGAGCCCTCGGCGGCAAGCTCTTCGTTTTTGGCGGCGAGCGAGCAATTCGGCGGAAAGGCAGAGGAGTTGAAGTTCCAAGTTGCGACTAGTTTAAGTAGGGTCACGCACTTGCGGAGGGTCGAGGCAATGTTTGCTGGCCATCTTTGGCTTGTTCTGATGTAACCACTGACATTGTGTGGGAGGTTAAGCTGAGCTGGGTTCAGCTCCATGTGGGTGCCGAAGATTTTCGAAGCCTTCTTTTCGTAGCTTTTGCGCCTCCACTCTTCTTGATTCGTCCTTCAGGCTTGCCGCTAACCTCCAACTTGGTTCTATCTTAGAATTGGGAATAGCCCAAACGTTATCAGATTCGGAATCTATGTAACTCATTTCAACCAAGGGGCTGCCAGGTCCTTTTGCAGAGCTCGAGCCAGCAAAGCTCTCTGCCAAGTTGGACAAGAAACGGATTTGCGCATTTGTTCAGCCTTTTCTGTGTTGCTAGAGCCTGACTCTTGCAACAAGTACTATAAATGAAGTTGTTTCTTACAGCCTCCCAAATTCTATTGCATACTGCAATCTAATCTTGCTGCATGCTTGTTTAAAAAGCTTCTTCAAGCTCACATCAATCAACAGGCCATGAAGTTGAGTTCAAGTGAAGATGGGAGCAGATGGATGTGAAGAGTCAATGAGACACACGCTGGACAAGACGTGAAGCCAGTGCAATGTGAAAGTGCGCCCTCGAGGAGACTGTCAGGCCAGGTTTTCTACGATGCTTTCAGCAGAAGTAATTGTGCTCAGACATTTTGTGCGGAAATAGTTGCTATGTACGGTGGACAGTAGTGTCATTAGTGAATCATTAATGACGAAGTGTTTGTGTGTGCGGTCGGTAAAGGCTGGAGCCACGTGGCCATTTGGTTTCACCCGCGGGGAAATCTTGACGTCGCAGACCTTTGGAACAATAACGCGAGCATCCTGGTCTTATACCCTAGGATCAGCGTGCGGCCTTTGCTGCTGCCGAGTGCTTCGACCCGGCAGGAAACTCAGCTTACCTGCGCTGCTACATTGCTTTTTGCCTTACACCATCCTGAGGTCAGCGGAGACTGGGAGCGGCTGCCTCCCCTCCCGACGCCACGGGGCTTGCAATCGGTGTCTCTTTCCTTGGGGCTTTGGCATACCTTTCGCCTTATAGGTTTTGGGTTTCCCGACGACCTCAATTGGGTCCACACATGGACTGCTTGCAACCTTCCTCCATTCGTTTCTTTTCTTCCCGTCTGCTTTATCGCAGCCCGCTGCTTCTCTTTGTCTGATGCACCTTAGTCCAGGCACGCCCTCAGCGAACCAGAGCGCAAGATGGAAAAGAAATAGTGCACATGTCAAAGGCCAACCATAGATCTCAAACAGTCAAAGATGGCCAAGTGAGTACACCGAGCCATGAACCTTGCAAGATTCGTGAAGCCTGCGGCAAAGAGGGTTCAAGACAAGTGTGGAAGGCCCAGGGCCGGCTGCGCTGCTGCCTCGGCTGCCAAGCGGCTAGTGGCTACCTGCTGCAATTCAGCCTTAGGAAGCTTCAGGCTGTAAGGGGCTTGTAGTGCTTGGAACCACGAATGGCGTCACTCGTGTTGCCGCATAGACGCGCAAAGAGCCCCTGTAGCCGCCTTCCCTGATCATAGCGGTGAGAGTTCCGAACGCCCGCCGTTCAGCAACAAAGAGGTCGTTTGCTGTCCATGGTTTGGACAGGCAGCCTACCTGAGCTTGAGTGCGCTACATGTGTTGTAGTGCACGAGGAGGTAAACTAGCCCTGCTCATGCATCAATCAATGCGATTAATCTTGACCCTGAGTTCCCTACGCTTTTTTTGTTCTTGTCCAACTTGAATGGAGGTATGCGGCGGCCTTGTGATGGCCTGGCAAGTCTTGGCTTCTTGGCACATGTGGCATGCCCGTCCTACATGTTGGCCAGGGTATTTACACCCCCCCCTTGCCAGATCCTTGCATACAGGACGTGGTTGAGGGCTACGATCCAGATGGGCGAAAGTGGCACAGGCCAGAGCAGCTGGACAAGCCAAACGTCATAGCAATGCATAGTCATATGATGTCATATGTGCAAGCGCCACTTCCGGCAGATAGCCTTGGCGTCTTCTGTGATGGAGCAGGTATCCACCAATGCCAACTCCTCGTTGTGGCTGCGCTGCTGCTGGCTTCGCGGAGCGGGTACAATGATCGCGTTTGCTTAATGCTGGGTTGGCTTGGCAATCTGACCTGCTGCAAACGCAGGTCAGCTCAGTCCAAAGTCTTAGCATGTTCTGCTTTGCCGTTTCCAGGTGATTGTCTGTGGCGGTCAATTGGCAGACGGGACGGTCTTGGACAAGGCGCGGGGGACAAATCCTGTAATTATTCCAACAGTCCTTCGGCTCGAGCTTATGCTTGAGATCATGCACACTGCGTCGAGCATTTGCTGCATCTTGGAGGTCTAATGGGATAACGTATGATGACGTGTCGTTCCACCTTTTGCACCCCGAACCAAAATGCGAGCCAGCCAGGTCGAAATGCTAGACCTACGAACTGAGACTTGGGATCGCTTGGCGGCAGCTCGATGGCTGATCACCCTTCCCCGAAGACTTTGACCTCATGTCCAGAAGCGCAGATCTACCCAGCAAGCAGCTACGAGCTTGCCCATTGTTTCCACGGAAAATGTTGCCCGTATTGTTCAAAGGGACTGGGAAGCCCGGACACCGACATAATGGATGGAAGACAGCATGTTAGTGAAAAGCCCGCAGTGGACTCAACGTAACGATGAGATGGAAAGAGCAAGGCCGCAGAGCAGAGAGGCAAAAACCCCGTGGTAAGTTTGATTAGGCGCAAGGATGTTCAAGTTCAAAGTTGACTGGACAACTCGATACAACTCTTGAAGCATGGATGGATGTACATGCAGCCTCTGCCTTCTTTACCTTTGGCTACGTCATGCTCTTTCGAGGGCGACGACGTCTACCTTCAAGAGGTTTGATCAGGCAGAACAGGATTTGTGGGAAGGACCTCTGAGTTTGAAGACCACCCTGCTCGGCTCAACGTTTTTGCGCAATCCTCAATTAGCTGAGGCGTTGCCTTCTGCCAGAAGCGGCTGCGGCGCTGCAGTAGTTGCAGGGACGCTGCTGGCCGCGTGGCGACACAGGGACAGATGGCGTAAGTTTTCAAAACTGGGAGACTTTCACGGCTTGGCTGCAGGGCTCATACGGTTGGGAGATGTTGGAAGCCCAACGAACAATAGAACGATAGACTTCCTGATGACGCGGACGCAAAATGCTTCGAGGTGGTGGGCGGCCTTGGCGGCAGTGGTTTAACAATCCCTGTCGTGGACCGCCTCGACTTAGAGGCTTGGCACAGATGTCGATTTGCATGCACGGAATGTCATGGCAGGGGTGAACCGGAAAGCCACATGGCCAGGCCAGGGAATGGACCACGCCATTGCCCGTGTCACTATCTCGAGCTGGCGCTGCCCTGTGCGTCGTCGGCCACAAAATACATTTGCTGGGAGGACGCCTCGGCAGCAGGAATGTCCCCCCGGCTGCCTCAGCCCAGCCATGCTGCAAGGAACCCCTTCTCAGAGTCTGTTGAACGTGTGCGTCTGGGTACACATGTCCGAACCCGAGGCTTTGATGGCAACCGCCAGGACTGCGATCATCATGATGAGCTGGATGTCCACACTGGCACTGTCGCAGCTCTCCGTGCCTTGCCGGCCCCAAGGAGTGCAGTAGAACTCCTGTTGCGTTCGCATCGGTAGGGAATGTGTTCACAGTTGGCACAGTGCAAACAGGGAGTGCAGTAGCGCTACGACTGTAATTTGCTCTTTCCTGCTGCTGTCTTGTTCTAATGGCATAGTCACAGAAACAACTCCCAGTCAACTCTTGAGCCAGGAGGCTGTGCTGCGGCGCTGCCGTCGCACGCTAGCCAGCAAAAAAGTAGGGCGTGCAATGTTGCAGGCTGATGCTCATACAAACCTATCAAAGTTCTGCTAGACCGACAGCTGGGCACTCTCTTTCGATTTGTGATGCCCGTGGTGGATTCCTATGGGCGGTGGTTTGAAGTTGCAGATGTGCAGTTCATAGTAGGTGGCTCGGCTAGAGAACAGGTGGAGGGTCTGATTTAGTTAGTACCCTCTTCTCAGCTGGCTGGGATAGTGGGGCCAGGACAACCTGTTTGGCGACTGGGCCTGCATGAGGCTGGGAGCAATTTGCCCATGACATGCAGGTGCCTGCGGTATAGGAGTTGCCTGAAGAGCCGCGAGCAATAGCCAGCACGTGAACAGTGTTCTCATTCACATGTCCCGCAGGACCGTCATCCGTGAGGGTGATGGCTGGGGCTGCCTGATGGACGACTGCGAGGCAAGGGACACCCAAAAGCGCAAAGTTATAGCTTTACATTCGTAATACGTTTGCTGCAAGCAGACACTGCCTGCTTGGGTTACTGAGGGATCGCAGGTGGAGATTTCGATCCGAGCAGAAGCCGAGGACCTGGCAAGGGAAGCCCCGTCAGGCAGATTCAGCGCGCGGCGTGTCTCATGGAAAGTGCCGCTCTCCGTAGCAAGCTTCACAGATCCACCACATAGTGCATAGCATGACCGAAATTAGTTCCTGTGCATCTCTTCATGTAGAGGATGGTCGCACGCTCGAAGAACGCCGACAGGCTTGGAATGCGAGAATCCAGGAGCGTCATGAGGAGTGCCTGCTTGTTTCTGTATGGTCGACGGGATATATCGCAGAATATGTGCTGCTTGGGGGAGATGGCTCATTTGCAGGTACCGTACAACCTTGGCTCAGGAAAGCCCTGGTCTCATTTTGATTGCAGACAAGTGGACTGCTAGAATTATGTACAACCCTCTGTCGGGCTGTTAATGAATCACGCCAACCCGCAAGATCCCACAACTCAGGCACATGGAGTTATGGATATTGTTTCTGAATTGCGGCTCCATAGCTGTCTCTGGAGTACCTTCGGATTTCGGATCCCCAAGAAGAAAGATCATGAAGGATGATTGCCTGCGTTTGGAAACCAGAAACGGTAGAGTGCAGGCTTAGGGAACGCAATGTAGTTGCACAGGAACGAATGCAACCAACAGCAGCAAAAGAAACAACAGCTAATGCAGCACCACAGCACTGTGGTAGATGAAAGGACGTTCGCCGCCGAATCAGATTTTAAGCAGTTCAAGCCAGAATTGCTCAAGAATTTGCACGGGCTTTTCGGTTTGATGCTCAAGCCTTCGGGCCAGCAGGGAAAGGCTGAGCGCCGGAAGGTCATCATGAAGGACGCTTGGGTTATTTGCAATTGTCCAATCATCATTACTCCCAAGTCACATGTCTGTGGCTCAGCTTAAGCTTGCGGTTTGCCATTCGCGTACAAGACTACCAAACACAAAGGGCAATAGTGGGCGAGCAAGGGATGGTGCATACTTCCTACTTCCCATCCAGCACATGACCAGGCCCCATCAGACTCGTAGAGTATCGTGCGGGGTCATGCAGTGTCAAGTCGAGTGTCTTGACACTAGGATCCGCCGAAGGCATGGAAGCAGCTAGAGGGCGATCTGGTTATGTGCGCCTGCGTCCTGCTCGAAGCGCTACTGGCCTTGCGCCTGGACTATGGTAACAAGAGGAAATTGATCGCTTGCGTTAAAGCCTCAATTAACTGGGAGTGACCGATTGGCAGGTTCATTTTTGGAGTCCCGCTGGATTGTACGGGAAATGCTTAGTAGGCGAAGGTGATTCACTTACTTGCGGCATGCGCAATGTGACCACAGATTTATGTGTTTGCTAAGGAAACTCTTCATGCAGCTCCTCCGATACATTTATCACTGCCAAGGTGATGGCAGTCAAGGAAAGGAGCTATCCCGTATTTACAATGCAATATACAGGTGGGTAAAAGGCGGCTTGGGCAGCTTGGCTGGTCCCAGCAACAAGCCGGGTGCCGAGGTCTGGGACTCAATGCAACAAAGGCTGCTTCTTTACTTCAGTCGATTTATTTTGATCATGGGCATGTACCGCATCGTTACGGTGCAAATATGGTACATACAGGGCCGGGAACGGGACCATCCATCCATTGACTTGCCACTGCTCAGTTCTTTCTTTTTGCTGTTGATGGTCTGGTCACACCCTTGTTTCCGAAGTCGTATAGCGATGGACCTCTATTTCTGGTTGCTGCAGATCTTAAGTATCACGGCAATGCTACTGGCACAACAGAAGGATGTCATGGAAGTCGTGGTGCTGCCCCCTGCCAGTACCCAGCACCCCTTTGGGCTGCGATTGGTGTCCGTAGGGGGCCATCTTTCTGCATAGACCCAGCAAGACGAATTACTGACAACAACGTTCCATGTCTCCACGGCCATCCCAAACTGTTTGCAGCCGACTCGGGATAGCAATCGCTCTCCATCTCTCTTTGTAATGACCTTCCCTGAGTAGAAGGTTCGGTTTACATTGCGGCAAAGCTTGGACTAAGGACGGTCATTCTTCGCGTTGCCTCTGCTCTCTGGGTGCGATCTGGATGGTGGGCTCTCATCGGGCACCTTCCGTGCCCTGCCTAAGCAGCGTGTAGGATTGCATCGGCCCAGGCGCAGATTGGCAGATTGGTGGGATCATGCGGGAGCCACCTGCCTAGGCATGTCTGTCAAAGCACCTGCAAGAATTACCGCATCAACAGACTGTAGTGCTGGGGCATGGGAAGCTAGACAAGGCTTGCTTCCTTTCTTGCAAATGCTGCATGGGACCATATTGGAACCAATGAGCCTAGCAAAGACAAGCACTAAGAGCTAGCTAATTAGCCTCCACTCTTTGACCGGCCATGGACACCTCAGTCGCGGATGCCCAAGCTTAGGAACAGCCTCTTCGTGGTTTACATCGCACCGCCCCCTCAGTTGCATTTGTGCCCAAACATGAGCATGCATCATGAAGAATGCCCCAAACGCAACACGGTGCAAGCCAGACCTTTGAGAACCTGCACGCATCTTCCTTCAAATTTGTGATACAATTTACAAAGAAAGTCTCAATGTCTGTAGCTTCAACGTGCTTCAACCCAACGCAAGGGCACAGCTCCTGAGTGCCGACAGACGCTTCAAAAACTTGAGGATGCCACGAGCCAGCTCTTTGGCTGGCAGCCTTGCGGTTGCTTTGGCCATCATCACGGTGCGACATTTCATGTACAAGACGGTTGAGCTCTGTGGCCAGGCATGCAATGCCAATGTGCACGTACAGGCTCGTGCCAACTTGATGCACAGGAGTGTAATCAAAACGTGAAATTAGTCATGTGAAGCAAGTGTAGAGCTCTCAATCAGCTATCTTACTACGCAAAGCCTCCCGCCTGAAGCAGCACTCCTGGCGGCATCCGACTCAGCAACAGACATCGTCGATAATCAAATATCGAAGCCTAAAAGCAGTTGTCTACCAACGCGGCTGAGGTTTGGACCTCAAGACTAAAACGATCAAGCTGGATGCGGTCTCTGCGCTGATGACAGGTGGTCGGAAATGAGAGAGCGCGGAGGGATTGACAGCACGGATGTCCTGCGCGATAGTTGCTTCTCATGGTGGCCTTTGATGAACTGGTGTTTAGTAAAGTACTTCCGTGGCACAGGCTTCTGCGACTGCGTTGTACATCTAGATCGTGATCTCAAGTTGCTGGAGGACTGAAGGGGGCTGTTCCGTTACAGGTTTGCGAGTTACTGATTCCAGAGGCTTTCAATCCTCAACGGCGGTAAGACAAGCAGATCCAGGTTGCTGCAGCGGCATCAGGGTTCGCAACTACGGCTGGGTGCACGTGCGTAATCATGTTGGATGACAAGCAAGTGCCGCTACTTACTACATTGATCATTTGCTGGCGTAAGCTGATCCACACCAAGTCCTGCTTAAAACTCTCCAGAAAGAGCTAGGTTTTTGGCAAGATTTGCCGCGCTGCCAGCGTGAGAACAACCCAGAATGTGAATCAAACATAAATTTGGGCGTTTAAGTTTTGCACAAAGACTTACAGGCAGCGGGGCTAGGTAACAGGGTGGGCTGCTATTGCAGAGGTGGGGGCATACTTTGCGCATGGGTAGAAGAGGGATTGGCTGAACGGTCGCATGCAGGGGTCCAACGAACGTAGAATTGACAAGGGCGGTGGCTTTGGGGTTCACAGACCAACTGCCGGTCGAAGCAAGAAGATAGGCTGAGTGAACCCATTTGTACGGGCCGCGAGCATTGCCTTGGAACAGGGGATTCCAGATGATAGTGCCAGCAATTACTAGTAACAAGCCTTGGAAAGCGATTGGCGGATCCCGGCAGGGTCAGCGCATCTTACAGATGCAAGCCTGGCTGAATCGTTCATGAGCTACTATAAGTAGAGCGAGAAAGCCGCACGAAGCAAACCTATTGCAGAGCAAAGCGTTCCAGACTAGGCAAACGGCTCATTACTACCAGCACCATCTCTGCTACTACTGCGATTGCTTTTGCTACAGGAGAGTGCTTACTACCGTGCCCCGTCTTTCGTAAGCAGTAAACGCGTCGGTGCCCTCTTGCTGCTGCTAGTGGGAAACAAAGGACACTTCGTAAGAAGCTTCTGCGAAGCAAACAAGTCCAACCTTGTTTGACGATGTCAGCTCACTTTTGGTGCGGCCTGACACAGCGTAGTCACACGGACTGGTGCTTTCCCCTCGCAAATTCATCATCTCTGCCTTGCTTAGTGTTGGTACGTAGCAAGCCGTCGGCCCGGCAAATTCAAGTTGCACATTGCTCTTTCAGAGTAGCCGCTAAACGTGCTGAAGACAGAGGACTCTCCCCGGATTGCGGCATTGCTCTTGTGCAGTGCTTCGAATGCCAATGCAGCTAAAGTCTGCACCCGCGGAGCCAGCTTCCTTGAGCCCCTTGGCAAAAGCAACATCGGATATTGCGATCCGGTACAGGATGGCTGCAAGTAAGTGGATTCTTTGTCGACATCTCCTTGCTGCCATATGCCTCAAACATGCGGAACTGTTCTGACGGCAGATACCTGGGGCGGCCCTAAAACCTCCTTGCAATCATGGGGTCTTGCCGCTTGCCTACGCAGAATACTGACTTGCATCTTGGTGGTGATGATATGATGGTGATCATGATGATGACGCCCCCAGATTGCGTGCACAAATTGCCATTCTTCTTCTAGCTCCACTTCAAGTGCTCTTTTTCGGGGACAGGCATCCGCGTGATTTTCTTGATGTCTTTAAACCGGCACGCATTTCTTGAGGAAAGCCACTGCTGCAGAGGTCAGCCTGGGGGATGCCCCCAACACATTCGTGTATGCAGATGCCATTAATGATGTTTGCAATGCCAGCCAGACCATTGCGTTCCTTCAGACTAGCAGCCCAGGTTGGTCTGCGAAGCTGACCGAGGCCATGTTGGGAGGGCTGGGATCGGGGCAGAGCCATGGCACTTCACTTGACATAGCCGTACAGCTCTTTGCATCAAAAACTCTCATTTCACATCATTTAACCTGTTCAACAGGAGCATGAAACTTCTTTCAAGTTCAACCTTGACGGGCTCAGTGGCTTTTGATATGGCCCCTTGAGGCCGTGTGGAAGGCTCTTTCGCGGCCATGCCTGTTTCGCACTCCTTGGCCCTCAATGTGCGCCTGGTGGATTCGGATGGGAACCAGGTGAAGGCCAAGAGGGCATGACAAGCGGCCTTGAACATACGCAATAGATGGCAGAAGAAGAATTTTCGGAGGACACACACCCAAAGGCAGAAAAGCATTTACCCATGTTTGTAACAACAGTGTCTGCTTCGATAAGAGTGTAAGACCAAGTAATACCCTTGCTGTCTAATGCGTTGAAAGGGCCTTGCGTTTGCGAAAGCTCGTGTTCACCTGCCCAAACAAGCGGACACAGCAAGGTCGAAATGATGCACATGCCGTTCTTTGATGAGCATGGCGAGCCATGCCACTTGCTTGGTGTAAGGGAGTCAGACGATGTGACCACAGCTTCAACGGTTGCACCGCTTCAGCGCGACACGGTGTCGGCAACTTTGGCCAACTTCGAAGGTGCCACTGAAGAGGCGTATGTCGTCTTCGACGCCATGTCGTTCGAAATTCTTCTCGCAAGCAGCGAGTTTGAAGCCTTGTTTGCGAAATGCACGGGCCATGCAGCAAACCTTGAGGAAATGAGCGTTCATGACCTCTCCACCGATGCAGGGCATTACTCACTAAGCCGGCGGATACAACTGGCAGTGAACTCGTTCCACAATGGCAACAGCACTATGCACCAGTCTTTGGGTACAGATCTGGGGAGCTTCAGATTCTTTGGTTCGTGCAAAATGCAGGCAGGAGGACATATGGAGTGCAAAAGTTAATGTGTAGCTACCCGTAGTTTGGCGGTAAACGTCCATTCGGTGTACTTTGAGAAGTCCGAGGTGCGAGTGGAATTACAGCACGACCCAGCGCTGGACGCACTTGTTGGGACTCTTCACGTCACTCCCCCAAGCCCGGGCCTGCATCTTCAACACCAGGACAGTACACTGAGACCTTTGCAAACAGCAGTTTTAGGAGAATCCCAGAAGCTTGTGATGCTGTTTGGGGCCTGGGGTTCCAGGCCCATCTGAAGCACATGGTCACACGTCATGTGGCCAATGCTGTTTCAGGAGTTCTTGGGTCGCCGGAGGCGCAAGCTGCGCCGAAACCTGTCCAGCCCCAACCTTACTTATTGCTGCCTCTGCATTTGCCCAAACAGTTGACAAATAAGGAAGCAGAACTATCAAGATGCACGATTTCATCTCTAGTCCGCAAAATACATTATGCAACAGAGACCAGCCAAGTAGATTGCACAAGGCGAAAAGCCTTTTGTGTGGCAAAGCCAGGTCCACGACGAGTCATGACATCATTTTCGCCTCGCCGGCTGATTGGGCTTTAGCTGTCGGATGCTCCCGGCATCTTTAGCCAGCAACGGAGCTCGTATGAGCGCGCCAGGCGTCACAAAAGATTACGTGTGCCGAATCTAAGCAAAGCTTGAAGGTCGGAGTGAGCGTTGCAACTTAGGAGCAGTGAATGGTATTTAGCCAGGGTAGATGTGTAACATGGGAGGCTCACAAAGCGGGCGAGCTAAGTAAGGTATGAAGCCATTGTGTATGAGCTGGTGATGGTTGGCATGGATGTACTTCAACACGACATCCGAAAAAATGACCTGGCCTAGACCATAATACCCCATTAAACAGCTCCAGGGACAGGAGAGCAAGGATGCCTGGGGCTTTGTTTCATTAATCAGCTCGACCAACTCGATTGCGCAGAGAGATGGATGAAGTACTTGCCAGAAAGAAAATTGACACATATCAGCAGCATCCTGCCTGAGTCATCATTGCTTTTGGTTCTCCAAATTTAAGATTCCCCCTCGAAATGTCATTTAGAGTGTGCAGGCTCTCAAAGTGGAGGTAATGCCTCTTGCAAGCGAGTGGCCGGTCTCGGCTGATTTCAGGTTCAACTCCGTGAGGGATACGTCCTGGATTTGAAGCCTCCTGGGATTATCATTCAAGTGCCGGAGCGTACTGTAACGCACCGTGACCCATATGCTGCAAACGATGGGGCGGGCTGTAGTGGGCCAGATGGACTTTTGAAGCCAGCTATGAACTCAAGTGCCAGAAGCGCTAGCTGCACCGCAGAAAGAATGACAACCCCATCCTCAGAGTGTGCAAACAATTTCTCGAAAGCCTTCGAGACATTACTGAAACTGTTCGCGCTCAACGAAGCGACGACGACACAGTGACGCAAGTTGCCGACAGACTGCAATTCAGGTTTGTTCGGTCTTACTGCGCTGTCCTGTGGCTGGGGAAGCGCCGTTCTTCCATATTGGCTGGCAAGATTTGGTCAGCTTATCTTGCATCCGTGAACTGGTTAGGGTGCATGTGCTGTGGTACTTGGAGAAAAGAAAGAATGCCTGCCCAAGCCTGCAGCCAGCATAAGGCGAGCAACGGCTGAAACCGGCCCTTGTTCTCTTTTGAAACAGAGCTCATTCCCTGAAGCAAGGCATGAGGTGCGACACAGACACCTCCGGTGCTTCGGCGTGCTAGATCACACGGGACAGAGAAGTGCCTGTAGACGCCGCCATCGTGTCTCGTGCGGAGTGGGCAACGGCTGCGACTGCAGCAGAAAATCTCACCTGACTTTTGCTGGAAGATTCTCACAGCAGGCTGCACTCTTAAGACCATTTTGAAAGAGTCGGCGTCCTCCCTAACTTTGTGCATGTCGTGAATTGTTGTGAGAGAGCTACCAAGGCTGGGCGACTTAAGCCTGGTGGCAGACCGTGCCTTGCGGGAGATGAAGTCTCAGGCTCAGTTGGCCTCAGCTGGGCTCAGGGCCATGGCTTCCACGTGACAAATGAATCGGCAAAGCAGTCCGACTGCTCTGAGGAAAGGCGGCTTGGTGGAGCTGAGGTCCCGCCTACAACATCCTGTTTATTTCGCGGTAAGTAACAACCGGCTAGCCGCTAGTCTCAGAGAAGAGGCAGGTTCAGTTGCTGTTTCGCTTCCTTCGAAGGTGCGCACCAAAGTATGCCTACGGAAACGACTCGCATGGAGAAGCGACTTGCTTGCAGCAAGGGTTGTCATTGCGTAGGAAACACCTCCCCCGTCCAGCCGGCCGCGTCAGTCAGTCTTAGCTCTCGTTTCACGCATGATCCGTGTGGAAGAGCGTGATCTGAAGACCGGCTTGGTGTTGTTGCGCGCGATCCGCAAAAGCACGCTTGTTCGCTTAATAGCTGGCCTGTCTGAGGCATGCGCTTCTGGACCGCTAGCGCATGATGAAAGGATTGCCAGCATTCTTTGACCCATGGATGTGCCAGCAAAGGTCACAATCCGAATAGAAGTGCACGAGGTGTACATGGACGAGGACGCACATGGCGGAGTGTATTTGTTAGTCGGGTTCACTCAGCTTGCCTCCGCGGCCGCACATTTATAACAAGAGTATCATACCGCTGGATCAGGGCAAAATCTATTCAGTGAAGTGGATATGTACGTGCGAAAACCATGGTGTTGACCACACGGGCGTGCTGCCCACAAAATCCACAAGTGCTCTGGGTGTGTAATGCTGTATACCCCCGCCTTTCGTGCATTTCACTTCCAAAAAAGTTAGATGATAAAGATATAAAAAAAAACTGAAAGCATTGGATTAGAGGATTTATACAAGTATATCGAAACATGGAAACTGTTTCGAAACAACGTTAAACCATTGAACCAACGGTTTTCCCCAACATGAAAACCATTGAACCATTAAAGCAACGGTTTTCCCCCATTGAACCATTGAACCAATGGTTTTCCCCATATTGCTGTAATCCATTGAAACATGAAACCAGTCATATGGGCAGCACCATTGGTTCCATGGTTTAATGGATTTACATATGGGGAACACCATTAGTTCTGCTGCAGGACAAATGTGACCTGCATGTATATTTCCCACAGCCATCAAGTGCTTAATCCCCAACGTGGTTGATGCATCAAAAGTAATTAGTTGTAGGCAGATGTCTCTACAGTTCTAGATTGTGTACAGCTTTTAAACAGTGATTGTACCCTTCTTTCTGGTTGCGTTGTGGAAAAAGAGCTGTTTAGCTGTGTCGCGGTTGCTGCCATCCCTCCCACAAGGAGGTTACGAGCCCAAGTTTACGGGCACTGCGCTTCTCTGAGGACAGTAACAGAGCTATGTGGCACGGTGGTTGTGGAGACGGCAGGCAAGCTGACCACTCAGTAATACGTGACCCTCTTCGAGGCGATCAATTCTTTTCTGGAAACTCTGGAGGAATTTCTGGACGTTTTTATGGTCCGACCATCCAAGGACCACGTGGTGAGCTGTCGTGGTGGTACAACTGGAACAAGCAATATCTGCGCAGGCTGCAGTAATCAAAGGACCGGAGAACCCCACATGTGTAGTTTAATTAACCCGAATTAACCCGAATTTAAGTGGTATACTATTAGGATACCGTCGCCCGGCGATATAAGAAGAATGTATAAAAGAATGCAAACTCTTGAGACCGCATTCCGCGGCGAAACGACTAGCACATTGCGCGAGCGCGTACAGGCAAACCCAAACCGGCCAGCACTCGACGCAAATGACTCCCGATCGTTAGACCGCATCGCCAGAAGAGCACCCCAAACCAGTCCCCATGAGAATTTCCGGCCACTCTGCCGCCGCTCCCCATCCCGGGTCGCATGTTGCCAAACTGAACGGCCGTCAGGACTCTTCGCAGGGGAAGCGTTCCAGAGATCGCACTTGCAGGGGACGAAAATGAGAGACAGAATAATGAAGCGACAACACGCAATGATATTCCCACTTTCTGAGCGATCTCCGACACTCCAAAATAGCCTCCTTCCGCTGGCCCGCAACCAGTCCCGAAAGAACACGGGCCTCCAGTAGAGCGCGCAAAGGCCAGGAAGACACCTGCGGGTGATGAGGAATTCCGACAGTCCTGAATGTAAACAAAGGACTACTCTCATCTGGAGCGCCGACCTTCAAAAGTTCTGACTCCACGTTTTTTCTGCCCGTTGTAGCAGCCCTCGATCAGCCGCAACTGACTCTTCCACTGTCGGAATCTGAACACATGGACAGCCTTGCCTTTCAACGTCAAAGTCCGCAAAGCATCCAAGTCGTATTCTTTCATAGGACCGAAAGCAAAATCAAAAGCCTCCATCGATTCTCGTCCCTCCATCCACAACAACACGGAGTGCACATTGTGGCGTCTGCTTGACCCTGTCGCAGCACGCAAAAATGCCAGCTCCACATACTCGCGAAGAGTCCAGTGCTCGAGAACATCTGGCAGATTATTAGCCTCCTCCACACCAGGACGCTGAATAACCATGGAGCAGCCGTCTGACTCGAAGATGTCCCTCAACCTCTCCGAGTCACCACTCAGGGCTGCCGAAGCCACTGCAGCACCGCGACCTTGATCATCTGCCCCAAACGACCAGAAGTCGGAAAAGGAAAAAAAATCCCCGCGCTGAGCCGCCACCTCTGGAACTGAAAAACAATAAGAAGGTTGCTTCTCGAACAGGCGCCATTCCCCCCTGGAGCGCTCAGCGTCCCACCTGAAAGCCGACTTCAGCGGCTCCCAGAGAGTGCCATAAGATGTGTCAGCTCCTCGATCCAGCCAAGCTCGCACACAAACTTTGCAAAGACTCCCCGCTGCATGCAGAAAGAGGTGATGATCTCGCGACCTCGGGCTCATCTGGCTGATGCCTCTCCTATGAATCCTACCGTACATGTCCAGCTCCACCCCCGCACAGAAGGCGCGCGCCCGGAAGGAAGGCCATACTGAAGGCGTCAACTAGCATTCAGCATTCGAAGCACAAGCCCACTCCAAGGCGTTCCAATCCGGATGACTCGCTGCACCACGACTGAGATCGGCACCATGATGCAGCCAATAGTTCAAGCATGTCTCACACTTCGCAAAGGCAGCCTGAACAAAGAGGTAGTGATCCCGCTCGCCTTCATCCATACAGACAATAAGACACCGAAGCACCTCATCAGCAATGTGCACGTAGCAGTCCAGAATTGCAGCATCGCACTACCTTTTGTTAGCACAAAGGATCCTTTTGGTTGGTGATCAACCTGGAAGGAGATGTGCAGGTCACAGAGAGTAATACTGGCCTTGTCATCGAATCCATTCGAGAACTGGTGAAACTGCCACCTCAAGTGGTAGTAGCCGGAGTATCTGGGTGCGGGAAGCACTTCAAGACCATTGAAAATTCAGCCTATATCCCACGTGGTACTCCGCTTGTCAGATGGGAGGATACCTCGTCGGTAAAGCAGGTAAGCAAAAAGCCACCTTAGTAATAATGTCTGTACATAGTAGGGGACATACTAGTTGTCCTGGAGGGGCAAGAGTTATATTTAGAAACAGGTAGGCTGCGTTCTGCCAGAGCGTTGCAGTACAAATGTGACTGCATGTATACTTCCCGCAGCCATTAAGTGCTTAATCCCCAACGTGGTTGATGCATCAAAAGTAGTTGTAGACAGATGTCTATACAGTTCTAGATTGTATATTTTTTAATCAGTGGTTGTACTCTTCTTTCTGTGTGCGTTGTGGCCAAAGAGTTGTTTAACTGCGTCGCGCTTGCTGCCATCCCTCCCACAAGGAAGTTCAATTGTTTATGGTTTGGTGGTTTAATGGTATAAAGGTTTCATGGATTTCCATATGGGGAAGACCATTGGTTTCACGGTTTAATGTTTTTATGATATATCCTACCCATTTCGAAACAGCCCCCATGCTTTGAAACACGGATCTGAATTGCATGATTGTGATTTTGTATTTCAGGAGCTTCTAAATAATTTGATAATACACGCAAGCGAAACGCACGAAATGCAGTAGGGGGAGAACCGATGGTTTCCCCGCTGTGATAATCTGCTAGGGTACCTCCAAATTTCAGAAAAGTCTCGCCAATTCAACCAAACTGGTGTATTGGGTGTATGGATTTCTTGTTCGGCGGCATACCTCGACCCCTGTTTTTACATATTGTTTGTTACTGTAAATATGTATGTTTGTGTGGGACGGGTCAGGGCACCCTGAAACCTGCAAAGCATGGCCATTTACGTTTCCTACAAACCTGGACTTCGTCTTGTTTTCATTTGATTTTCATATGCACCTCGTGTTCTGGAATGGAACCCGTGTTCTAAAGCATTGTTTGTCGAGCTTATCGACGTTTTGACCGGACGGCAAAAAACATCGATAGGGATATTTTGATATTTCTTTGAGAAAAGATCTCTTTTCTGAAGAACATAGGCCTGTTTCTAAGTTTCTACACAAGGCTAGCACATTATGCAAGAAGAAGAGCTTTTTCTTGAAGTTTGTCCTAATTAAAGCACAAAGCCTTTTCCATGTGAGGAGAGAGCTCAAGCTCCAGTTGTTTCTGTTCAATTTCTGTGGAATTAAAAGAAACACTTACAAGGAACTGGAGCTTCCACTTCTCTCAAGTCAGTTGTATCTCGCTTGTATCTTTATCTATTCCGCACGTAGGAACACAGATTTGGTTTTACCGGTAACTGAATTAGGGATTTGTTGGTGGCACTGGGCTCGAAATAATTATTGCGCTCCTGAACTCCTGTTCTCCTCAGTCTCCTACGTATAGATTCCTAAACATGTTGTAGGTTCAATACGACTCTCAAGTCTTGAGCTTTTTTCTCTTGAGAAGCTCCTTATCAAGAATAGTCTCATGGTCTCCAATAGATGTAGTATTCTGAAAGATGTTAATTGTTCTTGAAATTTGAGACACCAGGCATTACGTCGAGAAAGAAGAAGCCCAAGACTTGAGAAGTCCTCAATAAATTGGAAATACATTCAGTATAGGATGCATGGAAATATTGCGAACAGGAGCCCAGGAGATCAGAATTTCTGTCTAGAACTTGCAACACATGTAGCAAGGGAGTCAAATGGTGAATAACAAGAATCTGGGATTTGAGAATTACTTTTTCAATGGGTTTGTTCAAAGTCAATGTAGTAGGGGCTTCTGTAGACAGAACAAGAAGCTCAGGGCTTGCAACTTCCTTTCAATCCGAAGCATATTCAGTAAGGCATTTTTGTAAGAGAATGTGTGGAGAGAATCCTTCAAATACTAAACCAATTGATTAGGCATTCATATAGGCAAATGCAGTGCCCAGGATTTGAGACGTTTTCGATCTTCTTCCATAAGATTGAGACACATATAGTATCTCTCGGAAACCATCGGAACATTACAAGTATTATTCATACTTGGGAAAAGAAAATACCGGAAGAGTTGAAATGATGCTGCCTCTTGCGCAAAAGACTAAATTTCAGAGTCTTTGGATACTAAGACGATGGAGAAGAAGCATACCAAATATTAAGTCCCCTTCACCCACACTGTATCGAATTGGATTCCCTAAGAATATTTCTTTCACGAAAGAAGGAGTGCAATGATTATATGAACCGCTCTAATGGGATGTATAAACCCTCTGAGACCAATGAATCCTACATGGCTGTGTTTGACAAAAGCTACGCGGGGGTGGGGGGGGATACAACACAGTCTGTTCCAGATACCTGCCTTTTCTAGCTCGTGCCACACCATGAATCTGATGTAAGAGTTTACAGTTTTGACTCAGCTTAGACAACACGAATCTCGTCATGCAGATTGAAGCAAGACCGTCGCTTGATGGGAAGACGGGATAAACAAGAGCAGTGATGCTGCTGATGATTTCAGGATGTGACTCCCAACAAGACCGGCGAGGTGAAGAAAAAACAGCTCCGCGAGGTTGACATGCAACATTAGCACATGTCAAAAGAGCTGCTTGATCTGGCCAGGGTGCCAAGAACGAGTCACCGAGGGACACTGCGCAGTGCATACTCATCGTGGAGGCGGGCCCTGCCAGATGCATGCAGCTGCGAGCTCAGCGACTGTTCCACATGCCTTGCAATGCGCGCCATGCAGAGGTGGTGAAGGACAGCAAGGGCGTCTTGATTGCGTGCTTTGACGGCCCAACTGCACGAGACCTAAGAAAAGTGGATGACACTCAGAGTTCAGTACGCGGAGGACCTGAAAATCCCAGCATGCCATGCAGCATCTGCTTCTGTGAATGTCAGTTAGCCATCTGAGAAGCGATGCTAAGGAAATCACTTTCCGAGCCGGTCAGGAGCCCAGCACACCGGACGAAGAGTCAATATGTCACAAGCAGATGCCAAGAGGGCCCAGAGAAAAAGTGACAGGCGTTGTCAGGGTAGTAAGGTAGTAGCAACATGTCATGGTAACTTCAGGGTGCAAAGCCTCACATCATGTATGTCAAATTCTGGAGAAGCTCACGAATGTGGCTGAAGTCGGCTCGTTTGACAGCCAAGTTAAGCACAGGTGATGGCTACGTGTGCGATGCATTGGAGCTTGCCGTCAAACACATGAATGAAGGCGCCACCAGCATCCTCTTTCAACCATCAGTGGTCTATTTCAGAGACTGAGAGATGGGAGAGTGAGCCACGGATTGGGCAGGGGAGCGGGCAATTGTCACTTGCTCCACTCCATCCATGTGCTTGGGCCTTACCTGCGACGAACTGGACACGGCGGACACCTGTCTCATACACAAGACAGTGGCAGCCGTTGCCCATTTCATGATTGCAAAGCCAGCTTGCTCAGCAGTCATCACATAGGCTAGCAAAACACTTTGGAGACTTGATGCAAGCACAGGTAGGGTCGGAGTTTGGGCATGCAGCGGGCTCCGGCTATTGCGCATTCTTTGCGTAGGGGCATGTCTGCGTGGCTCGCCATCAGGTGATAACATGCATGAGCGGCAGTAGACGCACATGCAGATTAGCATGGCAACACAGTCTACACGCCAAGGCGCTGATCCTGCATTGAAGCTGTCAGTCCAGGAAGGAGAAGAGGCAACGCAGCAACGCTTCACTTTCAGCTCATAGGGCGAAAACTGCAAAGTTGCTGCTGAAGAGGGTTCCTGCTAGTACTTCCTGGAATTCAGCTTGCTAAGCCCGGCTGAGGCGCGGCGTACACTTCAAGCAGAAGCATCCTTGCATGTCCAGGCAATCTTTACCGTCGAGCTCAAGAGTTTCCGCCAAGCACGGGGCACTTTTGTCCCCCGATTGCAGATGGGGCAGGTTCAGTCGAATGTGAAAGAGTTGAAGCGCGTACTGCCACACACCGGCCGAACATCCGACTGTAGCATCTTTACCAAAAGCAAAAGTAACACAACGTAATTTGCATCCTCATTCAGCGGTTGCGTAGTTGAAACGCAGCAGCTCAGGCAGAGAGTTGAACATCGTTCTTCGCGTTCCATTCAGCAGGCAGATTCAACAAGTGCATCTGATACCACGCACTAAACCCATGGCTCAGACTTTTGATGCAGGTTACTCATACTGAGTCATACTGCACATCCACCCACCTTTGGCCTGGCGATTCAGGTCACCTCGCGATTATGAGTCAATGAGAGAAATCCACGCAGAAACAAATGTCACAACGCTTGTCGGTAATCCTGCTACTGCGTTTGCTTGGACAGCCTCAGCAGTCAAAGTCAGTCACAGAAAAATGTGACACGCTTCTCAGGAGCCGTTGGAGTTGGAGGGGGAGAAAAATCAAGAGACAGAGCATTACATATGGTTTAGGTCCTGGCAGAAAGCGGCATCCAGTCTTCTGCTGCCACAAACACTTCAGTCCCACAAGTCATCTAGAAGTCGAGCTCACTGGGTCCGGTGGTTCGAAGATGGGAACAGACACAGTTGCACCTGAGGAAATGCCTGAAGGGGACAAAGTCCCGCCCATAGTCTGCTGAAAGCTGGTAGCACGTTTATCCGCTTCTCGGTGATGAGTCATGAGTCAAGTGTAGAACACAACTCAGATGGCCTACGGTGCAGAGCGGAAAGAGACCGGGCAGTCAACTCAGGCTTGCTCAAGCTGGGGCTTCTCTGTAAACAGCATTAAACAGCATGAAGCAACAGCAACGGTTTTTCACTTTGCCACAAGAAGTCATTTGGAGCAGCCTTATCAACTAAGCAGCGGCGAGCTGCACAACCTGTGCTCGCAGAACTCCAGCCTCTCCCCAGTTGCATCGCAGAAGGAAGCAGAAAGCTATGTGCAGCCTGTCCCAACGTGCTTTGCCTTTCTCAGGTCTCGGCTCTTCCGGGAAGGAAGGCCTTGGCCATGCAGTCACGCAGCATATCGTAGCATACAAGAATCATTCAACGGCTAATCTCCAGTGGACTATCGCACCTTGTCTTGGAGGTACTTCCTGGCTTTGCAAAGATACCGTGGAGTGCCATGGCTGGAATTGACAGCAGCTACGCACGAGTGCTTGTTGCTTCATCTGAGAACATTTCAAATTGGGGCATCATAGGTTTACCTTGGGGAGCAGGGATATATGAGGATTCCATCAGTGATCAGGGGGGTCCCGACGAAGGATTCTGACATGTCGGGGTTGAAATGGCAGGTCCTCGAGTTCCTTTCATATTGCGAGAACCTTAGCGAGGCTGGGCACCCTGCTTTTCCATCAGGTTTCCGAGAAGCAGCTTGCACAGAGGACTTTTAAAGGTCGGTAATGAAAGAACTGGATTCGGCTGTCTGTTTCACTCAACTGGCTGCGTCAGGACGCCTCTTTCTTGCGTTGTCTGAACAACTAGGCGAAGACCTATCAGCAACCTGTGAACGATCTGCTCCCATGCCTTTCTCCCGCAGCCGTTCCTCTCAGCTGCAGACATGCTGATGGGTTGGAGACCGAGGCGTGCCTGGCTGTTGCTTCCCGGCAGGGTCCGGGACTTGCTGTGTGGCGATACTGTGGAGGCTGCTGGCTGTCCAGAATGGCCACGGAGGAGAGTGACCTTGACATTGTCAAGCTGCTCGGCTGCAAGCGCACAGTCTTGCAGAGAAACTTGCATGTGTGGCTAGCATCTAGCATGAAGCCACGTGAGTTGCGCAGTCCAGGCAATGCATCGAGATTATCGAGCAGGAGGTACACACCCAATGACATGGAATGACTATCAGATTTGAGGGCCTATGACAAGTTTCGCTCACGAGCACAGCTTGAAGCATCAGGCACTCTCGTTGATGGTAGATCCCGGTGGTGCAAACCTCGACGGGGATGCCAAGCTCGCCGAGGCAGAATCAAACACAGGGAGAGAGAGAGAGAGAGAGAGAGAGTCCACGACTGCGAACGGGGCGCGGAGCCGTGCTCCGGGGAGGGCGCAAGGCCTTCCCATCGCCGGCAGAAGAAGAAGTCCACGATCCAGTGAACGCGGCACTCAACCCAGCTATCGACCTTGGACCTCGGGGCTGGAGGTACGCCTCCGCGACACCTTCGGGTGTCGCATAGCCTATAGAAGAAGAAGAAGAAGAGTCCTTCCGGACTGCCAAATTCACTCCCTAGCAGAGAATGATGCAAGGCCATTCAAGTTGCTCAGGACTTGTGGGGGAGAGTTTACGGCAGGGTATTGTCTAGTTTTTGAGTTATGAATGATTAGTACATTGGTTAAGGTCCGACCTTACACATTAACGTACCCTGCTCGCTTGTGGCGTTGCTCTAGTGGAGTCCTCGGACTCCCCTAGAGCCCTGAAATAAAGAAAGAAAGAAAGAAACAAAGAAAGAGAGTCCTTCCTTCCTTATGAAGTCCTGTTTGAACTCTGAAGGTGCTGCAGGTCCTCGGTGCAAATGGCAAGGCTTGGAGCACTTCGATGTACGGCTGGTAGAAAATGAAGGTTTGCCTTGTGACTCGTATGGAAGGTGCCAGGCTTGGCAAGCCTGGCTTAAGTATGCTGAGGGTTTCAAGTCTTGCAGAGCCTTCTTTCTCCACACCATCAACCAAGGTTGGAAGCCATGCTGCAGTCAAAAGGAGTGCTGGAGGGATAGCAACTGTAACACAAGCATTGGACGGTGGAACCCACAGCAAGTCAAGAATACAAAGCAGCTTGAGGTCTGCGATCTGGTGGGAATTTGTCTACAAGTGGAAGCAGGATTATGCCATGCCATAAACCACTATAACACTTCTGCTGCGCGTTAGGCAAAACAGAGCAGGAGTCGGGCACTTGGCAGCGTTGGGCATTTTCCAAGCATTCACAGAGTTTGGAGTATGATGCTCTTAACCATCCCTCTTGTAGGAATCAGCACCCTGTCCCCACTTGAAGTCCTATAATGAGATGCTCACTGAGCCGCAGGTAGTGGAGAAGCCCAGCGACTCCAGGGATCTGCAGGAGAAGCTGACCCTGCTCACCCGAGGCTCCAATGTGCGCGCAAGTATTTTGTCCTTGGGGGGCCGTTCGGCTGTCAGGTGTCAAATTCCGCCAGCAGTTGTCCCTTGTTGCGTGTCGGCCTTCGTAAACTCGAGTCATGCCGCGGTTGTACACAACTAGTTCCAACAACGTTGACCACAGTTTCCTCTTTCTATGCGTTCAGAAGCAACGTGGTGGAAGCCCTGCGGCGCGCTAGCTGCCGGCATCAAGTCTCAAACCAGTGAACATGGGTTTGGGTGAACGACCGAAAACAACAAAATCACGCACATAACATTGCTAAAACAATGCCGATGAAGACAGTGAACGTCGCACCCCTGGAGCGCTTTAGAACCAGACCCCAGTCCACCCTGACCCAAGGCTGGACGACCGACACCCTCTAGGCCTGCCAAGCCTGACGGACAGAATCGGGCCAGCCCACACTATACTCTCCTCACCGAAAAGAGCAGGAATAATTGCAGCGCAGCCATTTTGAAAATGCTTGCCATGCTTGCACTGCTGTCATGACATGAACTTAAGCCGCTGTCCTCCGTGCATGTACTTCTGCAGTATGTACTTCCTGAACAGCAGGCAGTTCCCATCCGGGCACTGGCGATGCGGCACACTTGGCCAGCTCCATTTAACTACAAGAACACTCACAAATTGAAAACGCAAAAACAGAATGCTAGCGACAAAGCCAAGCAGAATGCAAAAAAAAGGAGTTCACACTGAAATGAAATGATCAGGCATAGAGCCACAAAACGACAAGAGCAAATGACAATAATTCGCCTGGCATGCTAATGCAATCACGAAACCATACAAAACCAATGAAGGGACGCCCCCATCGCTGCAAAGCTTCTTGAAATCCTAGAGCATGGGGCAGAAGCCTTGGTGCCCGCGCCACGAAGGAGAATGGCGAAATCCGTGCCACAGCTACATGAAGCCTTGCCTTCACAAGTCTGGCGAGGTATGCACCTCCTTAGTGAGCAGATTCACGCCAAGACGGAGGAGTTGAAGACAGTGGAAGATCAGCAGAAGGACGCTTGTACGGCTTGACGAAGTTTAGTCAGTTCCTCAAGCAAGCAGAAGATTGAAAGACTGTTCCAGCATGTTAGAGCACCCTGTCTGCCCAGGACGGCCAGAACGGCCACATGAGTTCACCGAGGAACGTGCCAAGCCAAAGGCGAGAAGCACTTGAGAACCCACCAAGCCCAACAGGCTTCTTGGTCAACAATTGGATGCAGCTTAAATTCTTCAAGCTTTTGCCACTACTGCAGTTGTGAAGTCAAGGAGCGCTCACTCTTGTGAAATTCACACGTGTGCTAGCCACCGGGGGGACGAGAGCATAGCCGTTCGCACAACCTGAGCTGAGGCCTGGGCCTGCTTCCACCAACACCTGAGCGTCCACGCCAAGAGCCCCTTGAGCATGGGGATATTGGGCAAGGCCTCTACTCGGACACGCTTGCAAGGCTGGCGCAGTCCCATGCCGAGCTGAAGAGTCGCATTATCTCCTTGGAGTCCGAGAACAGGCGTTTGCAAGAAGAAGCAAACCTTCGCTCCTTGGAGGAGCGGAACCGCATTCTGCAAGTACAGTCGATTCTGAAAGGAGAAGAGGGAGGTCTTGATGTCTCCCGCCTGGGTCGGCCAAAGGCCAGGCCATCCATGCCCAAAGCACGGCAGCCCAAGACCAAGCCACAAGCGCGGGCTGTCACACCTCCACCGCCTGCCCCTCCACAGCCCCACTGGCGAAATGAGAGCAGGACAGCCTGGACTCAGCGAAGCGAACCTCCCAAACAAAGACCGTCTGCACCGTTTCGGAGCCGCCCAGCCCAAGAAGTGAGTCGGCACCCGCCTGAGCGAAACTTAGCAGGCAGAACAACCCCGCCCAAACCAAAGATGGGCCGCAGCACACCGCCCAGAGCGGCTCCAAAGATTTCTCCAAGATCTGGAGCTGACAGTGTGCCTAGTCGGGGCACCCCACCAGCTCCAAGCTGTTTTTCTGCAAGTGCGCGGACCCAGTCTTTCATCTCCACGTCAACTCGCGCAGCTTGTCAACCTTCCGGTTCAGGTTCGAAGACATGGGCTTCCTAGTGCAATGTCGCATGTAAAGCGCCCTTCGCAGCCCAGGCACGGCCCGAGCGCTCGGGCAGTGCCTCTCCTCCGCGCGGCGGCGCTCGACGCGCGCCAGGCTCCAAGAGACGGATCGGCATGTTTGTGCCAGGGCAGGCGAGATCACATCAATCCACATCAGTATTAGACCACCTATTCTGCAGCAACTTTTAGAGATTGAGCTCGTTGTCTTCTGAGGTCCACACCACCTGCACCAAGCTCCAGGTCAGCCGGGGAGTCCTCTTGTGCGTTTTTTGAGCTGCCCTGCCTCCGGTGCACCCACCTGCACGAGTGCTGCTTGAGAGACATTCGAACTATGTTATGTAGCGCATGAGCAGGCCAAATTCACCTCGCAACTTCAATGAGAAGGACGGTCCGGTGAGGCTTATGTTCCTTCCCTCTTCGCACATTGTTGATGTCCAAAGATGGTTTCAACAAGTTTCGGTCATGTTCATCCTCTGGCATATGGTCAGCCAGATGTGCACCTCCAGATTGCGCGGGCTGCCATAGTTGGTGACCAGGGAAACTGCAGCACACTCCAGGCTCTCTCCAGCTCACTATGCTGCCTAGCATTGTGCGGGATAGATGCAGGAGTTGCCTCCCAACTGGCGCCAGATGGTTGGAGATGCCTACTGCCAGGCCGCGCACTGTAACTGTAGCTTATTGGAGCTCAAGGTTTTTGATTTCAGTATCAGCCAGAGCCATGATCGCAAGGGTTTCTAGTTGGTTGCTAGCACGATTCATTCAAGAGAGGAGACGGGGCGCCCCTTCGTAGATCGCATCACCCTGCTGGACTTTACCAGCGCATCCAGCAAGCCGCTGGGTCGATACACCAGGAAAACAATCAGAAGAGCTCCGCAAGCAGGAACTATGCATTCTGTGGCTCAACGGTTTGTGCAGGACGATGAGCTCAGCCCAGTCAGTAAATTTGAAAACCAGCCTGTAAAGGTTTGTTGTTTTGGGCTTCGTGTCGGCAGCTAGTTGCAAAGTCATCGACGGCTGCACACTGTGCCCTGATTATCCTAATGTCCACGTTACATCTTGATCTGAGGAAGCCAGATCCTGTTTTCTGGGTCAACGCAACTTCGACGCACTAGCTTATTCAGAGAAGCCAGAGAGTGGGATATTGTGTACCTCCTGTTCACTGTTGTATATAGGGTC